CGTTCCACACTCTGATCCTCTCCGTGGAGTTATAGATCCTCATATAGGCGTTACTAATGATATTGATCAGGACCGGGAGGATATTGTGGGCTCTGGGGTTCCCGATTATTTTGTATCCATAACCCTGAAAATAAAAGCAGAAAAAGTGATACAAAATAAATGATACACAGATTGGTTTTGGATTCATACACATGTCCTAACCAGCCGCCTGATGGGCTCCAGTACCGGCATTATGGTTTTGGACTCACATGTGCCGTCCTAACCAGCCGCCTAAATGGTTCAAGTACCGGCATTGGACCGGTCAAGGCAAATCCAAAGAGACTTATTCCATCATTTCATGAATTCTCACCCTATAAGATCAGATGTAAAGTGTACACAAAGCCAAACAATGTGTTTACTTTAAGGGTGATTATAGTGGAGTGCTATCATAGCATATAATATATATTTAAAATAAGCTAAAACAAAAATGTTTTAATGCTGGATCCAGTTTAAAATGTCTATTTCGATATAAACTATATGGCCAAAAGTATGTGAATCCCTTCCAATCACTGAGTTCAGGTGTCTCCAGTGAGGGTTTTGTTAGTACTACATCATACAAAGACATTGTAGACAATTGTGATCTTCCAAGCTTGTGGTAAAAGTATGGTGAAGACCCTTTTCTGTTCCACCATGACTGTCCCGTGTGTAAAAAGCCATCTCCATAAAGACATGGTGTGACCAGTTTGGTGAAGACCCTTTTCTGTTCCACCATGACTGTCCCCTGTGTACAAAGCCAGCTCCATAAAGACATGGTGTGACCAGTTTGGTGAAGACCCTTTTCTGTTCCCCCATGACTGTCCCCCTGTGTACAAAACCATCTACATAAAGAAATGGTGTGAGCCGTTTGGTGAAGACCTTTTTTCTGGTCCACTATGACTGTGCCCTGAATACATAGCCAGCTCCATAAAGACATGGTGTGACCAGTTGGGTGAAGACCCTTTTCTGTTCCACCATGACTGTCCCCCGTGTACAAAGCCAGCTCCATAAAGACATGGTGTGACCAGTTGGGTGAAGACCCTTTTCTGTTCCACCATGACTGTCCCCTGTGTACAAAGCCAGCTCCATAAAGACATGGTGTGATAAGTTTGGTGAAGACCCTTTTCTGTTCCACCATGACTGTCCCGTGTACAAAGCCAGCTCCATAGAGACATGGTGTGACCAGTCTGGTGAAGACCCTTTTCTGTTCCACCATGACTGTCCCCTGTGTACAGAGCCAGCTCCATAAAGACATGGTGTGACCAGTTTGGTGAAGACCCTTTTCTGGTCCACCATGCCTGTACATATAACCAGAGACTCATCTTGGTGGGTTATGTTTGGTATGCTTAGCGGTAGAGAAATGTTGCTTTGTAAGAACGTTTCATTACCTCATTGCCACCGGTGACCTCTATAGCGCCGTTGTAGGCTGTAGTGTTCTCGTCATAAGGACCGTCCACAACATCCACAGTGATATCTTGAGCCATGATACCACGAACAACATTTTCAATGGGGAGACCTGTGTGGGGACATTGCTGTAAGTTACCATTATGGAAGTGTTATGGTCAAAAGGAATTTTAGTGACGTGCAAATTACAAAAACATTCTCAGGATGAATCCTTTGGATGGAAATGTGTTTTTGTTTTCTCATTAGTAACCATTCTTGCTAAATTTGTATGTCTATAACACGGCGTTATTGTGCATAGACCTCTGAGGGATACTCGTAATGGTTATTGTAATGTTAGCTAATAGTAATTAATTCATGAAAACAAATTATTGATTGTAAGAATGGTAACGTTAATGAACGGACTGATTGGTGGGATTTCTAAACGCCAGAAATGTAATAAACACAGATTTGAAAATTGTCAATATTTGATATAAATTTTTTTTGTACCGGATTAGTTTTCATCTCTTTAAATTTCAACAAACCATTTGAAATACATTTATAACAGGTAGAGTTTATTTTGGCTGAAGAGACTTTGTATCTGTTATGAAATGTCTCTTTGCGTGCACTGTGTGTGTTTGGTTGCACAGTGCAGTGTACATTCCCGGCATCTATAAATGAGACAATGGAACTGAGTGATGGGATAATGTAACTACAGCATGTAAGTGTTGGAGTTACATCATCAGTGGCCCACCAATGGTGGAAGAAAGAAAGAAGATGGCAGACCAGAAGAAGATTGGCAGTGGTGGTAGATGGGGCAATGAGATGGAGCGTGGACCTTGCATTGCTGGAGGAGACCAATGAGACAATGGAACTGAGTGATGGGATAACGTAACTACAGCATGTAAGTGTTGGAGTTACATCATCAGTGGCCCACCAATGGTGGAAGAAAGAAAGAAGATGGCAGACTAAAAGAAGATAGGCAGTGGTGGTAGATGGGGCGATGAAATGGAGCGTGGACCTCACATAGCTGGAGGAGGCCAATGAGACAATGGAACTGAGTGACGGGATAATGTAACTACAGCATGTAAGTGTTGGAGTTACATCATCAGTGGCCCACCAATGGTGGAAGAAAGAAAGAAGATGGCAGACCAGAAGAAGATTGGCAGTGGTGGTAGATGGAGCGATGAGATGGAGCGTGGACCTCGCATAGCTGGAGGAGGCCAATCTAAGACGGATATAACATCCAGCTATGTTGTGCATACTTTCACATTATGGTAAATGTTCCGGGAACCCGCCGCGGCTTTAGTTCTGCCTCGAAACTTTCACTGAGAATGTTTTTAATTTTCCAAATGAATTTTTCAGCATAAATTTTTGAACATTGAAAGTGATGGTCTGTTATTTGTTTTTTACCGGTGTTGTTGACGAGCAGAAGATTGGTGAAGTACTTGTGGGGCCGATCTCCGGATCTTCGGAAGTAAAGGTTTGGAGTCAGCTCCCATGTGTGCATGGACTCGAAAATGTTAATAATTATGGCGCTGACAATCAGGGGAATGATGAACAGCACCAGCAGAAGAAGTCTGAAATTCAATATAACATGTTACATGCATACTGGATTGTAGACAACTGCACAGAGTCTTCGATTTTCATTCCCATGTTGCATCTGAACAAATCTTTGCTGATCCATATGGTTGGCAGTAACTTGCTGCGTGAAGACTAAAACTCCAAACTCCACCCACCTGACAACATAAAGGCATGGATTTGTGCATGACCACCCCCCCTCCCCCCCCCAAATGAACAAGTTCAGGTGTTTCCAGTAAAGGGTCTTGTTATTTATACAACATACAAAGACATTGTAGAAGGTTGTGCTCTTCCATCCAAGGTGAAGACCCTTTCCTGTTCCACCATGACTGTCCCCTGTGTACAAAGCCAGCTCCATAAAGACATGGTGTGACCAGTTTGGTGAAGACCCTTTTCTGTTCCACCATGACTGTCCCCTGTGTACAAAGCCAGCTCCATAAAGACATGGTGTGACTAGTTTGGTGTTGAGGAACTTGACTGTTCTGCCCAGAGCCCTGACCTCATCCCTACTGAACTCCTTAGGGATGAATTGAAATGCCAATTTTGAACCAGTCTTCTCAACCAACATCAGTACCTGACTACACAAATGGGCATCATTTCCCACAGACACCCTCCAAGTCCTTGTAGAAAGCCTTCCCAGATGAGTGGAGGATACTATAGCTGCAAAGGGAGGCAACTTTATATTAATGGCCATGATTTTGGAAAAGGATGTCCAACAAGCTCATATGAGTGTGTTTGTCAGGTGTCCACAGAATTTTGCCATTATAGTGTAAACAAACTCCATCCCCCCCCCCCCCCCCTTACACC